CTGAACGCTCTAAAAAGTTCACCATCACCGCCCTAAGGCCTGCTGAGGGAGCCCTCAAACCCTTCCCTGGATTTCGCAGCCAAAAGACAGAGGGAAGATGGTAAGAGTAAATCCACAGGATCCTGGACAGGAAGAAAAGGGCCAGAGAAGATCTGAAGAACAGGCAGCTAGTGCCCATGAAAGACTCAGGTCAATGACTGGGCATCTCCTCAAAGCAGCCTTTGCCAAGTACCCCTGCAAATTGATTCCCCTCGCCTTCTAAGTCACTCCGTCACACCACCCTGCTTTCTGTTCCTCTTTGGGCTGGTCATTGTCTTACATCCACTTGCTTGCTTACTTGTCTATCTGTTTATTACTCATCTCTTCCACAAGGCTGCAAATTCTATAGGAAGAAGGACTTGGTCTGTCTTGTTCGTGCTGAGAACACTCAAGAAACACCATTTGGATGAATGAAGGGAGCCTGGGTCTGGTAGAATGAAATACTGGCTATTTTCTGTTTCCTCATAGCACACATGTGCTTCCTGACCTTTGCAATGGGAGGGAAAGTGAAAGGATGGAACTTGCCATAAAGTGTTAGTGGAACAAAGAACTGCTTAGGTAAGAGCTGTGTCAAGAGCACATTGAATCAGTCTGCTTGGAGCTTTCACAGTAAGATAGGTGAACGAACCCACATCGTCCCTACCCTGACTGACCCCGAGTGCCTGTGAATCTACACATTCCTGGTTTATCTCTAAACAGTTATGTTGGAATCACGTGAGATAGAGAACTCATGGCAATGGCCTTGAGTGAACGAGTAATGCAGCGAGTTACAAAGTTCTTAAAAGAAAGTTTGAGGAGATCTCATTCTCTTGGGCTTCTTTACCTCTGCTCATTACACGTGGTGGGTGGGGTTGTGGGGGAAAGATTTATATGAAGTTAATAATCAGTTGTTTTAGTTTTTTTCTTTATACCTGATCCTCTTGCTTTATTTTTCCAGGATAGAATAAAGAGATAACAGACTTCTAATGAAATCACATTTTAAAAGATGGAGGAGGAAGAGGAGGAGGAGGAGGAGGAGGAGGACGAGGACGAGGACGAGGACGAGGAGAAAAATTTAACCCTAAACCATAAAACAAACCAGTAGGGGGTGTTAAAGATAAAATCACCACTCAGAAGTCAATAGAAATGAAGTTACGGGCAATTATTGCATGTTCTCTCTTTCCTTTTAAGTGAACTGACCTTTTAAAAATAAAATTGCTCTTGTTTCTTAAACCTCACTTTTTTTGCTTCTGAAATTGTTTCCTACTGATGTCTGTATATTTTTTAAATCTCCAAATGTACTATTGGAAACTAATAGAAGGAAAATTAGTTAGATTATTAATTATCCCATATATTTTAAATATTTATATTGTGTACCTCGTAGTGAATAAACAAATCATAGCACTGTCAAAAATTGAATATTATGCAGCCACAAAATGTGTTTTAAAGGATATTTTAAGATATGCAGAAATGTTCATTATATAATCTTACATATAGAAAAACAGGATTTAAAACTACATATGAAGAATGCTCTTCCTTTGTGTTTCATAATGTTTCAAATAATGATTATGGGATTATAAGTATATTTATGAATTTTATTTCCTTCCTTAGGTTTTGTAACAATTCCTCAGCAATTTGTGAATTTAATCTATATGTTACTCTTAAATTAGCATTTATAAAATGCTCAGGTGTCTTTTTTTTTTTCTATTTTTGTTTTTTTGTGGGACTGACCTGGAACTCACTATGTAGCCCAGGCTAGCCTGGAATTTACAGCCATCCTCCTGCCTCAGCCTCCCGAGTGCTGGGATTATAGGCGTGCACCACCACGCCCGGCCTCATATGTCTTTTCAATCCAAGGTAATTTATCTTTAAAGTGTCTTTTAAAACAGGAAGGAAATTGACTTGAATCTTCAATTTTAAAACAGAAATACTGAAGTATCATAAAATGCCCTGCCTATAGTCACATGGTTTGTGGCAGAGAACTGGAATCTGAAAGAAAAAGTACCCTCTCAGCTCAGCATCCTACTCCCCCACCCTACCTAGACAATATCTACAAGAAATGCACGGCTAATCCATGAGGTCCCTTGGAGGCTGCTTTTTCCTTTCTACTGAATGCACCACAAGGAAGCCCAGAGTCTGGGCTCCTCTTCCCCTGGTCAGCTTTCTAACCTTTTGCCAAAGAAAGGGAAGAATGCTGTGGTGTGCCTGTGAGTTATTATAATTTTCAAACCATTGGATCCACGTAGTTGAGATCATTTCAGGCACAAGTTCCATTATTGCAAAAGGCAACATTTCTGTGTCCCTAAATTGACAGAAACCTAACTTCAAAAGCACAATGCTCTTCTCTCTTCCCACACTTCTTGAGAACAGGGATGATGCCTGTTCTTCTCCAAAGACTACTCAAGAATCCTTAATACAGACTTATATTTGTAGAATCCTCATGAACACTGATTAACACATGAGTCATCTACCCTAGGACAACCTACCCTAGGGACACTAGCTCAAACTCTGACTCGGTGGACAGCATGTGCAAAAACCAGTATCTTATTGCCAGGTGAATGACTTCTTCATTAAATGGAGGATCTCTAAATTTCCACTGAGAAAAACTTGAAAAAGTCATAGTTCACCTTCAAGTGGCTCTTTTGGCTCCTTTGAAGTACAAAATGCCAACTATTTCTTGCTTATGGTTTGAGCCCTTGATAAACAAATAAAATTGGCCCACTCGTGGAGACCTGGCTTTAACTGGTCCCAAGTGGAGACCCAGCCACAGCACTTCTTGAAATCTCCTTTGACAATTCTAATGTTGAGCAAGGTTTGGGAACTACTGATTTAAGCTGTGAGTCTTTGCCTCTATGACATATTTAGTATCTGTGATTTATCTGATGCCAAGTCTTCGGTCAAGAATGCAACATCCAGTTATAACACAGATCCCATGGGGAAGATCAGTTTTAGGATTTTCCATGTGGTTTCCAGAAATGCCCTACAGTGAGAATCCAGTATCGTTGAATACTTTATATTTTTCTAATGTCCCAATCCTTCCAAAGGAAACTTGCTTTTGTGTTCGCAGAGGCTGTGGGTAGCATCTAGAAAAAAAAAAATCACAAAACCCAACCTTTTGTTATTAGTGGGATATGGTATGAAAAGGATGAATGAAGTTACCTAAGTCACCAAAAGGATCTCTGACATCTTTATGGAGAGAAGTTGTGCTACTAAAACAATAGCCCTCAGACGGGCGTTGTGGCGCATGCCTGTAATCCCAGCACTTGGGTGGCTGAGGCAGGAGGGTCACTGTGAGTTCGAGACCAGCCTGCGCTACATAGTGAGTTCCAGATTAGTTTCAACTATATAGCGAGACCCTGTCTCAAAAAGAAAAAAAAAAAAAGACAACAGCCCTCTCATCTCTCTGGCACTGGGGCTCACCGTTCCTTCTGGCTTTTCTCTCTTCAACAACTGGGCTAGAATCAGCACCACCCCATACACCATTCCAGAGCATGAGGATCTGATTTTCTGCACACTAGCATGGATCCCAATGTGGAAAGACAGAGTCCTCTCTGATCTGAGATTAGTCTGCATTGAGGCCACCACAGGGCTACAGCAGCAAAGAGAAACAAGCGTGGGAGAAGGAATGGGGACAGTTAAGACACTGTTCATGTAGGAAGAAGGGAGAGAATAAAGAGACAATAACTTTTCAGAGGATTAGAATGTGAGTGATTCGAGACCAATATTGAAAGTCCTATTAGACCGAAATTAGTTTTGAGAAGGAAATTCATTAACTTAAATGCTCGAGGACAGGACCTTGTGGATGAAATAATATTATATCATCTTTTTCAAATGTAAGCAAATGCCCTTTATTGGATTAAGAAAAGAGACCATGAGGCTGGAACATAACAGAGCCTTCCGGGACTAGATGTTGGTAACACGAGGCCCTTTAGCTACCTCCAACTTCCCACTCTCCCCTAGTATCTGCTAAGCCTTACTCCAGGTCTACATTCAGGTCTTGCTCAAGCTACTGCTCCTCGGGGGTCTCCTGATCTTCTTCCATTCTCCAGGGTTCTTGTTGCAGATGACGAGGTCATGATGCAGAGCTGAGCAGGGTCACCCAGGAACCCTGGAGCCACCATGCAAGTGGGATGTGGCACCTATGTTCTTGGAGGGAGAAGAGTCTCCCTACAAAAGAATCTGGGGGACTCCTCCTGAATCCAGCAACCTTGCAAAAGATTTTTAACTTTACTTTAACATCATTTTAAAAAAAAAAAAAAAAGAAAAGAAAATGCTTCCTCGATACCGGGGACTGAACTCTGGACTTTGCACTTGCAAAGCAGGTGGTGGAACCACTGAGCTAGATCCCCAGCCCCAGATGCAGCTTTTCTTGAGAAATATATGGAGTGAGAGTTTAAAGATGGTCATACATACACATCCAGAGTATCACGGAAAATTTTACCTTGAAGGAACTGTTCTTTTAAAATACCTATTTTGGATAACTCTCATTCTTTGTTTGGTTTAGAAGTAAAACATTTCTGATTGCACAGTTAACTCTTTTTCTCATGGTCTTAAAGCTCAGGAAGCAGCCTGCTGTATTGGAAAGGAAGGGCCGGGCATCACTGACCTTAAGCAGCAGCTGTTACCTTGGGGAAAGCACTTGCATCCTCCCAGCCTCAATTCCATCCCATCAGAGGAGGTTGGGCCAGGTTATTTCTGTTGTAGAATTTTCATTCCATAAGCTCACTGTCCTTGAAAAACCCAAACTGCCAGTGAGGGAGAATTCTATCCAATGCATAGCTCCCTTCCCAACTCAGAAATCAAATCAAGGCTCCGAGCTGCACTCGATTCTGTTATAAACATTTCAGGTGTGTAAGAAATGGGCTTGGACTGCTCACTTCAACAGCACACACACACACACACACACACACACACACACACACACAAAAGGAGAGAAAGAAAGAAGCTCAGAGAAGCAAGAGGACTTGCTCAAAACCACTCACGTTCAGAGCAGCACTGTTTCTTGCTGAATCTTGTTCTAGCAATCCACCCTGATTCGAGCTCTGCCTGCAAAAGTCAATGGAAGATGCACTTGGCCCGAACAGCTCTAGCTGGTGAGTTGCATGCAAAGCTCCTGCTCTTGACATATCGGAGTCTGAAGTTGGGGCACAGGACTGCAACTCTGCACACGGTTCCTGCTTCATGACCATGCCTCCCTTTGGGGGACAGGAGTAGCTGGCAATGCCAGAAGCAGCAGAGGAGGGTCAGGTTGGACTTTCCTTCCAAACTGTCCACCCCGCTTCAGTGTTTGACAAGCCTCCTAAATCCTTTAGGAGAGCAAGGTGATTTAACTCACACGTATTCCTGTGACATGGATGTCCAAACAGGAAGCCGAAGGGAACTGGCTTTTCAAACTTTGTTTTCTTATGGCAGTATGTGCCTGGGAATGGGCAAGAACAAGCATTTCTGCTGTAATTCTCCAAAGTCTGCAGCCTAAGACATCTAGCGTTCGTGGAGGTAACCTGATACAACACGGTTTGCATTGTTTTGAAATTAATGGTTTCTCTGCTGCTCATGGAACGCCAGCCTGTATTTAGAAACCAATGCAGGGCCTTAACTGACAACTTCCCTACTTGCCGAGAGCCGCTGATGTGAACCAGGTGGCCTGCTACAAGCCGAATTCAATTACCCAGATGGCAACTGTTTCTTAATTCAAAACTTTCCCAGCACTTTTTTTTTTCCATTATGAAAAATGAGAGTGGAAAGAGAATACATTGAGTCTGAGCACTTCTGGTTTATGAGATTAAAGCCACGGGAGGGAAGCGCGTCTCTGGCCTCTGCCGGCTCCCCACAGCTCCAGCCCAGCAATGCCCACCCAGCGTGGCTGCTTATTCCTGGAACAGAAGTGACGGGCCTGAAACTCAGCCTCCTCCTGGGTCTGATCTTAGGAAGCTAGAATAACTCTCTCTCACTAATTAACAATGGCATTAGCAGATGGTATCTTTTTTTTTTTTTTAAGTAAAAAAGGAAAAGGAGAAAAGGTTTTAAATTGCACTTGGAGACAATGCTTTCTTTCCCCCCCCCCCCGTTAGCTTCAGCCCTTGCGGTGCAGATGCTGGATTTCCAGGCTTCTTATTCTGAAGATGAAAAGCTCTCTGCGCGGCTACCGCTGCAGTGTTTCAGTAGGCTTATTTCCCTGGTCCTCGCCTGGGGTTTGGTAATAACCAGACAGGTGGACAGGTGGAATGTTCCCTGGCCTCTACCACCCAACTCGGTGCCCCCAGTTGGCTGGCTTTCAGCACACAGGTTCTGCACTGCAGGACAGATTGGTGGGGGAAGAGGACGGGGACATCACAAAGCAGATTCTGTCCTCACTGTCTCCTGCTTTCGACCCATTTTTGGATTCCTTCATCCTTTCTTGGCCTCTGTGTCTCCCAGGCTGAGTAGGAACTTGGAATTGAGATAATGCCCTACACTTTTTTGCCTAGTTACTATACAACAGGCAATATTCTAATGCTTCATATATATATTGTATCAATTGTTCCTCAGAGCGTCACAATGATATGGTTAACAAACTATATAGTTTTTATAGATAAAAAATATCTTTCCATGGGTAAAGAAAATGCTGTTGTCTTAAGAAAGCATTTAGTGGGGATACTGTGATTTGATGATCTTTCTCTACCAGAACCATCACCTCCTGCCACCATCACCAGTTCTACTCCCACGTCCATATCCAGTGACAAACATCAAGCTTGAAGGGACTTTGTCAAAAAAAAAAAAAAATCTGGGGTTTGTTGGCACAGGGGCATCCTTCAACTTGAGCTATTTGGACAAGTGAAGCTAAATTATTCATTGTCTTGGCCTCTTTCTCCTTTCTCTTTATCCTCTAAAATTCTAATCCTCATGTGTGAGATCGGTTGCCAGGTGGCTTGAAATTTCTTTAGTCAGTAGAACTGCATGAAGCAGTGGGCTCTGAGGTAAGTGGAAGCAAAGTGGTCCTTGGTCTACTTGGAGCTCTGTTTAGCAAAGATACTGGAAAAGCAGACAAAATGCCTGAATTTTCCCAGCAATTTGAACTCTCATGGGGTTAGGGAATTGTATGTTGACCTAGAGTTAAAATTATGTCTTTGTTCCAGTTTTTCATCATATCCAGCTATTTGGAAGCCTGTGTTTAGGGCAAAGTGGTAGATGACAGATATGATAACAGCAACCAAGGCACACTGCCTGTGTGTCACAAAAAAAAGGAGGAAAATAAAATGAGTAAGCGAGAAAAATATCTTGGGAATTCAATAATATGATCAGCCCTGAGGTCTGTAAAGGCCAAGTCTTGGGCCAGACAGTTTAACTGTGCTCCAAGGTAGGAGTTTAAAAAGACCTAACAGGAAAAGAAACAGCATGGAGAGGCATTGCTTTCTTGTCCTCTCTTCTAGAATCCACATTCATCCTCTGAACTGCTCTGGGAGTTAGAAAAGGTACCTAAAAGTCCTGCTGCTAGCCTTAGAATGTCCAGTGTTGATCATCCTTGGAGCCTCAGTTTTTTTCATCATAAAATGAGGAGAATGGTTAATCTTTGATCACTAAAGTTTTATTTAGAAACCTCTTCTAAGGGAAGAAAAGAAGCCTCTCTCTATGTGTGTGTGCGTCGGAAGTTGAACTCAGGGCCTTGTGCTTGCCAGGCAGGTGCTGTGCTGCTGTCCCTGGCCCAAGAGGCCCTTTCCAAGAGAAGAACATTTCTACTTTCTATTATCTATGTTTCATGGGAGTCTCTCTTGCATCTGAGGCTTCTGCGCCTCAGGCTTTACCCCGATTTACTTTCTTCTTGGTTCTGTGGCAATTTCCAGGGCTCCACATCTCAGCCAGGCAGGGATTCTTTCTGTCACTCTTTCCTGTGGAAGGGTGCTCCTATCTCAGAGGCCAAACCTTAAAAGGAGGAAGATGGTTCCCATTTTACCAGTTTGGGGCCCACCTCCGTGAAGCTCTGGCTGAGCAGCCTCATGAAAGAACCCTCCAGTTTCCCACTCTCTGTCTTGCAGATATGTCAAAATTCCAGGATCTTGCACGTGTAAAACTACTTGTGGAGCCAAATGCAAAATATAGTTTAGTTAATGTCTCTCATATCTTTGCCCTTTCTCTGCTCTAGAGCACAGCTGAAGCTTTGGGGTCCTCCTTTGGCAGCCTGCAATAGCCAAAGCAAGGGCTCTAAAGGAATGGGAACTGTCTGTCAGGGTTATTTTGTTGAATGAACAAATGATAATTTTTTGAAGGGTGAGTAAACGATCAGCTGGTAGGAGAAACATACATTGTTTAGACTTGTGCTTTCTACATTTTGCTGTGGTTGTTGTACTTTTCTCATTGAGACACAGGCCCAAGGGATAATTCATCTTAAACAAGCTAAGAGATCTTTAGCAAGCTACCCAGAGAGTAGCACTAATGGGGTCTGTCAAGCATATAAATGAAGCATTTTCTAGAGCTTTGATAACAGTTCTGTAACCTTCTGCTCTGGATTTGGGGGCTCTTCCCCTGGCAGTCATAATTTTGTGTTTACAGTTCTTCCGCTCTCTGCGGCCTGGACTGATTCAATCAATTCTGCAGATGACTGGAGAAGACATGAGCCTTCAACCATGCACACTTTGGCAAGAGGAACGAGATTCCTATAAGCCACAGCTTCTTCCACAGAGAGAATTATCCTAGCGATGTAACTGATCACACAGTTGCTAATTATTCCTCTTCCGTCTTTTTCAAGCTTCATATCCTTATTTGGACACGATGAATCAATACTTGAAGTTGTTGGGGTCGGCTTTAACCTGCTCAGGAAGTTAGTATTTTCCTTGTTTGTCCTAAGAATTCCCAGAGATGCCGAGTGACTTGCTCCTGTGAATTCTGTGCTTTTCCCGTGCACCCGAATCCCGGACAACATTGATAATAACACTGTTTTAAATGCTGGCACGCCTCAGCCACTGCAGTCTCTGCTACGAAGCAGAAGCCATCCTGAGGGGGAGCCCGGTGGCCCCGGGCCGGATGCGGTGGAGTGGTGCGTCGAGGGGGAAGGGGACCGAGGACCTGGGCCCATCCAAAGACCCCAGGCTGCGCTGCAGGAAGTGCTTCTGCCGGGGTGGGAGGCACAGGGGCGCCCATAACTCAACTGTCTCTCGCACGAATCGCCCTCTCCTGATGAAGATAGGGTTTCGGGATTTTCTCCCCTAAGCAGACTGCCCAAATGGACGGGCGGACTTCATTCACACAGTGATGTCAGTGAATCCCAGTCCTCCTCTGGATTCCCATTCTGGCGTCTTGAAGGGAGACGGGGCGGTGGGGGGGGTCCCCTTGGGACCTCTGGCGAGGTCTGCTCGGATCTGCTCTTCTGGAAGCGGAGTGGGAAGTGGGAAAAGTGACCCCAGGACCGAGCAGGCACCAGTGGGCACCAAGAGCTGGCGGAGGCCATCCACAGGTGGGCGCGGGGCCCGGGTGCCGCAGCGCGGCGGGATCTCTCAGCGCGCG